AAACAAGATTATTACAGAAAATCATTTTTTTATTAGATCAGGCGAACTATGGAACTGTCTGCCCTCATACCTTAAAGTCTACCACTCGCTATACCTGCATTCAAGTCTACCCTAATTAACTTGTACATTACAAAGTTATCAACATACAGTCCTCCTGGTAGTTCCGGCTGATTATAATCATTCCTAAACTTCTTTTTGTCATGTTAGTCGTTTCCAAATATGTGTATATGTATATATATATATATATATATATATATATATATATATATATATATATATATATATATATATATATACTGGATCCAGAAAAGTTTGACCTTCGAATATATATATATGTCGGCCATTTTGAATTTTCTTGGGTTAATTATACGCCAACGCATACATCAAATGTCGCTCGCAACGTATTGTATATTGCAATATTATTCCAACAGCTCAAATGAATAAAAGAATCATTGATTGATGTCTTTGCACATAATCATAATGGCTAGTAGGAAATGAACATTTGGAAATGAACATAATGGCTAGTAGGAAATGAACGTTTCTGCTTCGCCAGGTCACGACTGCTGCGTGTGCTGAGTTTCAGGGGATGAAATATCGAATGACTATCGATTCCGTTAAAATTTCCGTTGGCAAAATATAATAGAGAGTTCGGCAAATACAAGGGCAACCGCAACGGCAATATGGTCATTAACAATAGCATTAATCTTCACAGACAAAGGCGAATGTAAATTACATGGTCTTAAGCGTTGTGCAATGCCGTAGTTGTTGAAACTAATACGTGATTTGCATCATTTTCACGGTGCATGACTACGGCAACAATTCATTCGTTCGATGTTATTTGAGAGTTGTATTGAATTCGCGGACTATTTTTATTTAAGGGTACGTTTGAAAGAAACAGGAATACTTAATGAGGCAAATTAAGTGTAGTAACGTATATACTTTGGCTCAAATACAACAATATAAGCAATTATATTTTCCCCGTTGCAGTTGTCGTTGCCGTTCTAGGTTGCCAAACTCTTTAATATAATAATTCTGGACGTAGGTTACAGCTATAAAATAAGCACAAGTGAATACGAAAGAATAAACAAAGAAATTCATCGAGGCATGCTAATAAGCGTCTCACGTCGGGCACGCGTGCCCGCGAAAGTTGCAAGCACGCGCGTGTTCGAATTTTTGCGCCGCGCAAGCAAGGGAATTGGACCTAGTCATGTTGTGTTTTAAGCTGATCTTTGGGTGCCTAGCAACAGGGCAATTTTCGTTCATGTAAAATTTGACAGCCATTGTTGGATTCTAGAAGTCTCAAAGATTAATCTGATACCAAATACTTTAATGTTATCGGTATTTTTGTGCTGAAAATTTAAAGCTATTATCGACAGTGTTGCCACTCCGAGTCCGAGTTGTTAAAATTGAGAGGATTTGGCTTCATATAACTTGATTCATATTTGTGTAATGGCTACTAAATATTTTCTATATCAACCAAACACTATCAGGTAAGAATCCTATGTTTTTATTATTTTTATTACGTGTGTTATTTCGTCTTATGACGGCTTTATTTGAAACATAGTTTTCATTACTACGCCATTTTTAGTTTCTAGCCTATGACTTACTATGGCAAGAATAAAGGCTAAATTGTACAGTCGATTTGATGTTGCCACTTATATGCAAGAGAAAAAACGCTTAAGAAAAGAGACTGCATTAGCACACAAGACACTTGCGAAGAAAAAATCGAAATTAGACAGGCTTATATACAGGGTAAGTGCATGTAAAATGCTTTTTTTCCCATTCATATTGGGAGGTGTATCTAGGTAAATTTATTATAAACTGCTATTCATAGAAAGTTTTCACGTTTATATTAAGGGCTCATTTGTACAAAAATTTACATTGTTACCAAGATTCAAGTAGTAGGAAGTTATGCTTTATATTAAGATTGAATAATCCACCAGGAATTAAGCCATTAAGCTGCATGACTCCCTTTGGCATGTTGTCTTGTATTAGACAGAGTAGAAGGGTCATGACAGGTGCATTTATAGAAACCCAATGGGTTTACAAGGAGAAATTTACAGATTAGTAAATTAACCCATTAAGTTGCAAGACTCTCCTCATGACGAGTAAAATCATCCGTCACCATTACATCATGTACATCATATATTACAATATTACTTTACATTTCCTGCAGATTGAGGAGGTCTCAGAAGAAACACAAATAGTCAGCGGAGACCCCCAACCTGAACTGCTCACTCCACCTGCCAAAAAGAAGAAAACGACATTCCTTTCTGAAAAAAATGCAAAAGCAAGATGTGGTAATCCAACTGTTCTAAGTTCTAATGATAAACCAGGGTTATCTGCACAGGCAATGGCAAGACGAAGAACAGAAACATTTGATGCTGCTTCAGAAATCCATGGGGCAACCCCCGAAAATCCCTTACCTACTTCAGTTGGTCTTTTGGATACAGTGGAAAAGAAGTGCTCACAGGAAGTTCTTGTCAAGTTTATGTCGACTAGTAAGAAATTTAAAAATGTATTTTCTGTGATATTTAAGACTGCTTCAGATAACTTTGAACAATCAGAGGCAAATAAACTCCGAAGTATTGCAGTTTATTACAGTAAAGGAGTGATGGGCAAGAGAAAATATAGATCAACCTATAGATGTTTGTCCATGATGAGAAACCCAAATGGAAAAAGTAAAACCACTCGTATTAAAGTTCTGTCAAACCCACTGCCTAGACTACTTCCTTACAACAAGCTTGCTTCTATGCTCAATGAAATTGAAATAGGAACGCTGTATAGTGTTCGCGATACTTTGTGTGATGATTTAGAGTGTGGAGAAAAGGTGGATGGTTGTTATAGGAAATTGATTGAGTTTCTTCCAAGGTTGGCACTATTTTATCTTTCTGCCTTACCTGCATCTGATATAGATTGGTTTAATGAGCCTTATACCTTTCAGGTTGCTATTGGTGGGGATGGGGCCCCATTTGGGAAATTTGACCAGTCTTGTGCTTGGTTAGTTAGCTTTCTCAACATCGGTCATAAGATTTTAAGCAGCGAGGAAAATTTCCTTATTTTTGGTAGCAATTGTAGTGAAACAAGCCCAGCAGTTGCCAAGTATATTTCAATGATAACTAAAGAGATTGAGGAAATTGAAAAGGCTTCATTTAACATTAATAATATGGTGATCAAGTTTAAATTTGCAGAGCTTCCCAATGACATGAAAATGTTGGCATATCTAGCAGGGGAGCTCCCAAATAGTGCAAAGTACTTTTCAACTTTTGGCAATGTTTGCAATGATGATGTACATGATGTAAGTAAAACCTTTGGCCCAGCCCCCACAAATGCATGGAAACCGTGGGATTATAAGCAACGATTATCTATAGCTAACAAAGTTCGCGTTTTCAAAACAAAGTTGACCAAAAAGCCAGTAACAGAGCAGACTGCGCGTAGCAAAGTCACAGCGTTTATTGCAGGATGTAAGAGTAGGCAAGAGTTTGACCCACCAATTGGCAGGCTCATTGATAGGGCCCATGCTGACACTTTGCATGTAAAGAATAATGCCTGTCAATTGATTCACAAGCAGATGCTTTGTGAAGCAATTGGTAAATCTGCTCTTGGTGATAATATATCCAACTTTAAAGCGGTACCAAGTAGTTCTGCATTTTATAAGTTTATATATGTGTTGAAACATAAGTGCCAGCTTTCTCGTTTAGCAAACAAAATTATTCATTGGTTCAATGAGACAAAGGCAAAAAGTTCAATTATAGGTTCACTGGGAGGGATTCCAGGATGTTTCTCCATAATTTTATGTACCTAGTGTCTGAGTGTCTGGAATCACCTGCAGATACACTGAGACAAAAGTTTCGGATACATGTTTTTGCCTATATTGCCCTGCAACTTAGGAATTCAGTTTCTTTGTTTAGTAGAATGACCATCTCTGCTAGTGAGATTCAAGATTTGACTAATTTTTGTATGAATTACTACAGAGCAAATGCTTTATTTATTGGCAAAGTCACCCCAACTGTATGGACTGTAGGCCATGTAATACCTGTCCATACTCAAGACGTAAAATCCAAGTACGGAAAGGGACTTGCGGTAAACTCCATGGAGGGCCGTGAGGCAAAACATATCGCAATCTCCCGATATGCAAAAAATAGCACTTATGGCAATCGGTGGCAGCTCATTTTCCGCCATGAGTACATTTCTATAATATGGCTAAGGGAAAGAGGGTATAACTTAAGTAATTATGCTGTTTCCAAGGAAAAGTATGTTCCTAAAAGGATTGGTCTTGATGGTTTTTGTGAGTGTGGCTGTTGGAAGGAGGTTGGGATTAGTTCTTGTGGCTATTGTTCTCACCCTTACAGAAAGTTAATTGAGTTATCGTGTAAGCTAGGAAAGTTAACTGTCGACAAATGTTTGTTATAACTTTTGTATGTGAGTGTCATTCACTTCCTATATGAGTGGTAAAATGTTACATATTTAAACATGTAAATTATTTGTTACGAAGTATTTATTGAAAGTTGTTAAGTTATTAATAATATATTTGTATATTATTTTTATTTAATTATGTATATATATTTATATATATATGTATATTTTTGTATATTTTATAAATGATGTAAGTGACACTTTTATTCACTCTTTTAAACATGTATTTATTAACAGGAATAAACAAAAAATGTTATTAAAATTGTAATCTTTGTATGCAGGGGGAGGGGGGGGGGATAAAGTCGATGTCATATCTATGTAATTGACGAACTGATCATGGGGTGAATATAGTACATTTACATTGTACATTGCACTTGTACATTTCACATCATCTTTTATTTGTGCTGATAAAAGATATCAAAAAGATGAAATTGGTAAGAAGGCAGCTTATCTATTACTTTTCTCTATCATTATAAGTGATACTGTAGCATAGCATTCAGGTCGATTAGTGTTAATTAATTGTATCCGGAAGTCAAGGAAGATTTGATAAAAGTTTACTCGAGAGACTTTTCCTAACGTACCTTCCAAGGCTTGAGGGACATATATTTCATTACTACAATTGACTATAATGCCATGCTCAGTATCACTTTGTGATTTTATTGCTACAGAGGGAGCGGTAAATAATCTGATGACCTGAAAGATATATAAATCATACAAATTCTCAATGTTTTCAGCCCTTCTCTATTCGATCTGGAAATAGGCGAGGACCGGATAAATAGACAAACTTACAGTGCGTTTGATCAAGATATAAAATTAGATGTTTGGTTAAACAGATAAACTTAGTGGTTAATCAAGATTTTGTGGTGTTTCACTTATACTACCCCATTAAGCGCCAGTGCTCTCCCCTTGACGAGTAAAATCATCTGGCGTTAGACAGTGTAAAATACTAAGGTAGGGTGCAATGGAACTCAATGGGTTAACTAGACACATGGGCAGATAGGCCAGTTAACCCATTAAACGCCAGCGCTCTCCCCTTAACGAGTAAAATCGTCTGGCGTTAGATAGAGTAAAATACTAAGGTAGGGCGCACAAGGGTGCAATACGACTCAATGGGCTACAAATAAACAAAGCAAAGTTTTTTGAATATACATGAGGTTCTTGCATAAACAATGTTATTATTATACATATAATAATTACATCGATTGTGTAATGTGTGGCCTTATAAATAAACAATAATATTCTACTGTTTCTATTTCTCTGGACGTTATATCTTATAATGGCCTGTTTATATGACCCTGCTTGCCAGAATTAACAGCTTGTTCTGTGGGATCCTGGCGGCATGTGCAATTCAGTTCAGTATCATTTCCACTCGGTAGCAGGATCACTGCTACAAAAATTGTGCTGAATGTGGACATATCATATAATCAGACCATTTCGACTGGGCAGGATGTCATACAGTACGTAGATTTTGTAAACAGTAACAGGTTATAAAAATAAAACTATATACAATACTTGTTCAAGACATGACATTTTAGACTGTTTAGTCATGCTGAGGGAAACCATAAGTATTCCAGAATCCATAGTGGCAGTTAATACTTAATTGTCTTTTGGCAAATTTATACACCAACGCAAAATCCTTAACATCAGAAACAATGACTTTTGCTATGCCTTTCGATCTGGTCACTTTCCTCGCAAGATATGATTTAACATTTCTATTGCTAAATTCAGTTAATTCTGTAAGTAAACTTACAACACGGGCCAGTGATGTCACACTAATAACGAAGGCTTTCCGATTGCCATCCATGTTAATGTCGGTCAGCAAATTTGGATTGTTTGTAGACCTGAGTGCATCTTTGAGTGCTAAGAAAATTTCCTTGGGGATATCTCTTGTAAATTCAAAATACCATGGTTTTCGTATCCGTGGCCTCGCGATTAACCTCCTGTGAATATAACCCAGCCAAGTACGAGCTTCATCTTTTAAAATGGCTCCAGTATTCAGCAATGAACGGCTCATTGTTAAAGTTTCGCTTCCTTTGACATGCAGCCTGTAGAGTTCATTCAAGTATTTCCTTGCTTCATGAGCAAAATGCACCTTATTTTGACCTAACTCATCACAAGTGGCGAAGATATTGACAGCTTCTCCGATGAAATCATATTTTGGCTCTTCTTCGTCGCTACTGGAGTAAAGCGGACGATTCGGGGATAATTCTGAATCATTGTTATTCAAATATATTTCTTTTAGAACAGTTTCAAATGGCAAAATAGCAGCCATTAATACGTGTCTCATCGGGAAATCAGAAATTTTAATTTACACTAAGTATTCAGTAAATTACCGCTGACGAACTTCGATCATCTCGCAACTTTTGCGAGCACGCGTGCCCGACATGTCTACTAATCAGGTTCCAAATTGTGACAAGAGTTAATTAGCTAACAACCCTCAAATGTTCATTAGATAGCTACTACAAGTATGTGTAAGAACTTCAAGCAATGATCCTCTACTTATTTGAGCTGTTGGAATATTGCAATATACAGTACGTTGCGAGCGACATTTGATGTATGCGTTCGCGTATAATTAACCCAAGAAAATTCAAAATGGCCAACATATATATATATTCGAAGGTCAAACTTTTCTGGATCCAGTGTACATATATATATATATATATATATATATTACTAGAAAAGCATTAGTTATATTAAGCTATATGATATGGGTTAATTGGACTATATAACTATCTGTCCGACAAGGCGTTTTATTGAATCCTTAAAATATACAGTATTGAATATATTAAATAACATGGCATAACAATGCCATGTTACACTCCACATCAGCAGATTGTTCAGTTTTTCTGTGGTAGGGGTAGCCTTGAAGGTGCCATTAAAACAATCATGTTGTACACATTTTCACTCAGCTTTAAAATTTGTGCGATTTAATTTTGCACACTTTGTTTGTTTAAGGTCCAGACGCGATTTGACAACACAATGCTATTTTTTAGTTTTTGAAAGTTAATAAAACAGCCAATGAGAGCAAATGTTGAATGATATGTAGACCAAATAACTCCAAATGTTATAGCGCTTCTAATTATCAAAACTTAATCAAAAAGTGATTAGGTGGCCTCAAAAATGGTTTCAAAATTATGTAATAAAACTAAAACATTTATTGTATGGTTTTCATTAGCCTAACACAATAACAATCCTTTTTTAGCATTCCCATATCTTATAGGTTCATAAATTAATGGTTTACTGTATTTGAGATAATGTCTAATGATGAAATTTCTTGGCACCCATGTTAAAAATTACTTGATTTAAACCCATTATATCAAAGTTGTCCTCGATATACAAATCCTCACATTAAATGTTTATTATATATGCAAACAATACGTAAAATATGAAATCAATTGTATCAAAAACCTTGTCAACTTCTCTGTCTCTGTGTCTCTTGTACAATAACAAAGTAATTATACCATATATGTTTATGTTGTGAGTATTCTAATTATAGCTATTAGTGATTCTAGTTAATACTGTTCAGAGTTCATCACATCATTAACAGAGCAATGGCAATCTACAAATGTACAAATGTGCATGCTGTGTTGCCAACAGTATCAAGTTCTCATCAGCCGAATTGAATTTCGCTAAATTCAACTTTATGTCAAAACAGTTATAGGTTTTTACTACATAGTTATAAGTCTATGGTGCCTACCGATATAGTATCGTTCCGAATGAGCCTCTAGAAAAGAGTGCATTTATTTATTGAGAATCCCAAAGCGTGTTTAATGTATATGTTTATAGTGATATGTATAAAGGAACTTATTGCCACCATGATAAGAGTTTTTATTGCTTCCCGGAATAATTTATAGTTGAAATTAAGTATGCAAAATAATAAATCTTCTGTATCTGGTAAATATCTCTTACTTATGCATAATAATTAATAATATATTGTATACCAGGGACATTTCCATTTTACTTGTGATGTATGGATATGTATGGGACTTTACTTACAATGACTCACATATTCATGACTTTTAGTCGCAGTCTACAGGGGCAACTACCTACAGTACACTCTAAATATGAATAAATGTGAACTTTAGGAATTTATTAGCCAGCCCCTAGTCTTCCAATTTATAAAATGGGAGCTAATTTTTTGGGAGATATCTACCCTCAGTGTGTAATAGATAGTTTTGCTCATGCAGCTCCCCGTGGTCGTGATTCTTGAAGTGTAACAGATCAATACTGGGGTCCGTGCAATTTTGGGGCAGCAGCGATGGCCAAAACAAACTCCTTCAAATAAATGGTAGTAAAAATAATTTGCATATTATATCAGTCGTTTATGAATTTAATACAGTCTTACATTTAAGACATGGGTTTTATGATTGGGTAGAGTTTGGCTGAACCTGGTTTGGAATTGCACTTGTTGCCGCTTGAAATGCAGCTGTTGCATCAAGACGTAAAATCTCTGATTTGGCGTTGTAATTACGGAGGGAGGACAATGTCTAAATTATTCATATATTGTGATTATTCAATTCTCTCAATGATTTGTTGTATTGGTGGCTGTTGCTGTCGCCTTGCCGTCCTGGGTTGTAAGGTCTCTAATGCAAAAGCTCAGCGTCTTTGATTTGTGCAAGCGCTGTGTTAGTATAAACATACTATATATAGCATACCTTGCGCTGTTGCGTGACTATAATTTTCTGTGGCTTTGCAAAGCGAGATAATCCGACTTGATAATGACGTTAACAGGATATTAAATCAATACAGCATCAATTATTAATTATACTGCTGACACATTCTGTCCAGGCTTCGTGATTGCATAGGTTTTACAGATGTTAATTTTCCTTTACTATACCTTACGAGGCAGATTATAATCTGGGGTGCATGCATGTCTATGCTTTTCACTATATTTATATGATATAGTGGGTATTTGTGCTAATTTTATATTACAGGTCAGAGTTGTATGTATAAGTTACCATCACTATGTTTGTACATATGTTATCATGAATATGCTACAATAGCATATTGTGCTATTGCTGCTAACTATAACATATTGTGCTATTGCTATTCGGGTTGATTAGCTTATTAGCAGTATTCATGTTGTTACCGTTTTATGTTCTTGAAGTAATTTCATGTTTTATGGGCTAGAGCAACTTGGCTGTTTTCAGATGCCCATGTTGAGATTTCAACATTGCCCTTGGGCGTTTTCTACACAGAACTTTTTCATGAATTTGTAGCACATATATATACGATTGTTATAACTTTGTATTGTTTTGTGTATATATTACGTGGCAGAGTTGTGTTTTAAACAGGTGTATGTGTGCATATATATATTCTGCCCTTGTTCTTGTGTCAGATACGCACAGCTGAAATCAATATATTGTGGGACGGTGCTGCTCATTGTTTTCAGATTGCCCGAATATTTATATTATTTGCAGCATTGTATAGATGGAATATTCAATTTGCGGCTGCCTCCAATGTATGCCATTGAGATTATTCCCTGCTGTTTCGTGTTTTGTATGTTTCTCTGTAAATTTCATGTTTTATGGGCTAGAGCAACTTGACTGTTTTCAGATGCCCATGTTGAGATTTCAACATTGGGTTTTTCCTTCACAGGATGTTTTCATGAATTTCTGGCATTTATATATATATGTTTGTTCTCATTCAGTCTGTTCTGTTTTGTATATGTGGCTGTCACGGTTGTTCTCATCTAAACTTATTGTGTCACTGTGGCCGTATAGCCTATATAATTTGCTATACTGTTCCTGTGTTAGGTAAAATGCATGTCTATGTGGGATAGAGCGATTATCGTTTTCAGATGCCCACAGTTGAAATCAATATATTGTGGGACGGTGCAGCTTGTTGTTTTCAGATTGCCGGAATATTTATATATTTTGCAGTATTGTATAAATGGAATATTCAATGTGCGGCTACCTCTAATGTATGCCATGATTATTCCGCTGCGTTGTGTGTTGTATGCCAACTTCATTTCGTTGTAATGTTTACATATACGTCAATACTTCTAACGTTTTGCAGTATTGTTATGGAATATCAATTTGATTATTCCACTGCTTTGTGTCTTGCATGTTATTTTATTATTGTTACAGTATGTTTTTGTTGGGTTTAGCCCATTTAGGTATGTCGATGTCAATGGGTCAAGCATAGCTAATGTGCATGTACTTAAATTTTGCTTGCCTGTGTTCTTTAGTCTTTCTTTTCAGAACATCCATGCTACTAGCCCAAGCATCTCAAGTACAAATGGCCACACAAGAAAAAGTAAATCGTCCTTCCTTCATGGTTGCCAAGTACAGTGACAGTGAAATGTTATGGCCAACTTAGTACTTCCTATCCTTCAACTATTTTCATCGCACCTCCCGCTCTAATATAATGTTGTGTTGGTTTGTGACTTGACCGCTTGCAGTGGCACCAAATTAAAAATTTTATACACAATTGCGCTCTTTGCGGCCAAACAACATGCTGCAATGCTGTGGGGGTTAAAAGTCATTAGGAAGTCTGGATATGCAAGCATGAACTTTCACTTATTCGCGCACTGTGCCAAAATGTAATTACGCGCACACAATCTCAGATGCCTATATACTTCTGGTCATTTTGTGACAATGGGCTTCCAACTTCTTGGCAACATAGACAACCTACTTGTAAGGCTATATATCCAATTGCAAAATTTTAATTTTCATCCGGATCGGTTCTCCAGTAATGGCGCACCAACTGCTGTCAAGTCTCAACCTACCAACACCAGTCAAAATAAATCAATTAATTTATTAATGCATTTACTGGGTGGACATGATGCAAAATTGACTGTTTATTTATATGAAGGTTTTACATTTGGACATTGAAGGTTTTTTTATCTGCTGAACAAAACCCTGAAATGTGAGCACTATATATGTATAGGCTAAATGTTCTAAAGGACTAGCTGCGAGTTCGCCTTTGGGTATTGTTACTAAGCAAGTGTAGGATGCCCATTAGCAATACGTCATGTAACATTAGTTAAATAGGAACTATTGCGTCATGCAGTTGTGACAGTTACCATAGTAACGAGAAAGGACAGACAAACAGATTTTCAAGATGGCGATTAGTCAACCACGTTGTTATTAATGTTCGCATTGTTTTACGAAATAAATTGTGCTTTCTACTGTTTTAATACTTGAATTATGGAATAGATCAAGAATTTAATGAGCGGGCAACAAATTGGAGGTCCCACCCAGACTTTTATACATAAAAGAAGCTGGGAATGCGAAGGAAAAAGTATGATTTTTACGCTTTTCTAAATTCTTGATTTTCGTATTTTGATCTTTGCTTTTGGTGATTTGCTGGCGATTATGGCTGAAGAACTACAAGTAGAGATGCAAACAACGGTTTGCCAAGCACCCGAAGAAACGCTCCAGGCTACGGCAAAGGATTTTAAACTTGATATTTCCGAACAAAGGAAAAGTACAATTGTTTGCATGATTTTTAACCATATTGATAAAGAATTGATGGACAAAAACGAGGAACAACGAATGTTATTCTTGACAGAATTTCGCTCACGTTACTTTAAGAGCACAGAACCAAAAGAAAAAGATGTTTCAGAATCAGTACCCCCTGTAAAACAAAACGCAGGACGAAGTCAAAGCACATTGCAAGGTATGTTAGAATCTACAAGTGTATTTCGTTGACAATTTAAGATTGTGGGACAAATTGGACAGCCAAATGAGAAAGACAAGTTGAGTTTCACATCCCTGACAAGACAAATAGACACTGGGGTTAAACAGGGGTACACAGAACAGGAAATTGTGGACGGTGTTATTCGAGCAATTAATGGTGGAATGGTTCTTCGAAGTTATGTAGAAACTTACAAGGATCTATCTCTAGAGCGGTTACGAAAAATTCTTCGAAACCATTATGATGTAAAAAGTGCAACTGAGCTATATCAAAGTCTTGCATCAATATGTCAAGGGTCAAAGGAAACACCACAAGAATTCCTTATGCGTGCCTTGGATTTACGCCAGAAAATCCTGTTTTCAAGCACTCAAGATCAAAGTGAGGACACTTTGGTTTATGAAAATGATCATATTCAAAAGCTGTTTCTACATACTGTTGAAACTGGCCTTCAAGATGAAAATGTTAGAGTAAGGGTTAGGGGGTACCTCAGAAACCCCACAATATCAGATGAGGAGCTTATTTTGCAAGTGAATAATGCAGTGTCGACAGAGAATGAACGGGTGAGAAAATTAAGAAACCAGAATCGCCCAAAGCCTGCCCAGGTTTCCCAGGTAGCAGAAAAAGCTGAGTCCCAAGATAAAATTCTAAAGACTCTGGAAGCACTGAAAGTTGAAGTGGCACAAGTTAAGAGTCAGTTGAAGGATATCAACCAAGAAACTGAACAAACTCAATTACCAAATTCGCCTGCGCCAGTAGACACTAGAAACCAGAGAAGAAATACGCCGCCAAAATGCTTGCAGTGCCAAACTAGTGGAAATGACAAATGCTCTCATGGTTTCATTTGTGGAAGTGACAATCATTTTGCAATTGGATGTCGACAGAATCGTGGAAAGAATACTTTAAACTCCAGGAGGCTGCCTCTCCGGGGCCAGAAGTAGCCGAAAGAAGTTTGCGGTCCCAAAGATGTAGTTATTGTGGCAAGGACGATGATCAAATGACATTGTACTGTTGTGCACAATGCAAATGTGTAGTTTATTGTTCAAGAAATTGCCAGAAAAGACACTGGAATGATCATAGGAACAATTGTAAAACTCTTCGGGACCTGACATGGGCATGTCAAAACAAAACACGCAGCAATAATAAAACATTTACCAGTCACCTAACTCCTAGTGAACATGCAAAGATTGCTAAGCTAGTAGGAAGACGGTGCACTGTAAAGTGTTCTCTAAATGAATTTGAGTCAACAGTATTATGGGATACGGGTGCACAAGTATCTATTGTGTCCAAAGAAATAATGGAAAAACACTGTTATAAAGAACATTTCAGAACTTATTAATGGTGAATTGGATTTAACAGCAGCTAATGGTACACGAATTGCGTATAGTGGTTGGACTGAGATAGAAGTTAGATTGATTTCATCAAAAGAAAAGGATCCATCGGTTATGGTTCCTTTCTTAGTAACAAACAACAGTTTAGAATATCCCATTCTTGGATACAATGTTATTGAAGAACTAATCAAGCCGATGAATACATCTGATATTCAGTCAGCACATATTGCTACAGTACAAGCTAGTTTTCAAGGTTTTGATGAGAAGGTGTTACTCGAATTGGTTAGACTGATACAGACAGCAAGAGCAAATGAACTATGCACGATTAAGAGCCCAAAGAAAGACTTTGTTATTCCGGCAAAGAAAACATTTAAAGTTAACTGTCGAGCGAATACTGGACCGGTAGAAAAAACTACACTTGTATTGTTTGAACCGGACGAATTAACGCCCTGTCCAGACGGTTTATCGGTGCATGAAACGGTAACAACAGTGAAACAAGGCTCAACATCTCAAGTAAAGATAGATGTGACTAATACAACTAATCATGACATTGTCGTGCGTAAACACACAGTATTAGGAAGTCTTCAGTTAATTAAATCGATTACACCTGTAGAAGTGAAGTTGGCAGAAAAGTCAAGCAAAGAGAAAGAACGAACAGTAACAGCCACACAATCCCAAGTGAATGCAATGGCGAAAGAAACTCGAGAAAGAGACAATACAAATGATGACCAGTTTTTACCTGAAGTTGACCTTAGTGCATTAACAGAACGTCAACGTCAAGTAGTTACTAACATGTTGAAGGAAGAATGTCACTCTTTTGCAAGAAATGATGAGGATATCGGTTATATCAAAGATCTAGAACTAGAAATAAATTTGACAACAAACGAGCCAGTGCAAAAGAACTATGTATCGGTACCAAGACCTCTCTACCCAGAAGTAAAACAGTACATTGAAGATTTGTTAAATAACGAGTTTATAAGAGAGTCAAAATCAGCTTATTCATCCCCAGTAGTATGTATTCGCAAAAAGGATGGAACTCTGCGACTTTGTGTCGATTATAGAGAACCACAGTTAATAGAAATAGGATGGTTTGGAAAGCCGGCGAACTTCAAAGAGCGGCGGCAAATATGTTGCGCCACAAAGGAAGTGAAAGTCACGTGTCAAATAGTGTGCATGCTCTCGAGCGAAGTGCTTAAGATTATTAATGCGTTCAACAAAAATCTTATAAAAAAGTGTTTTTAAAAGGTCGATACAGCTGAAATTGAAATGGAGGAAACTTCTGAGAGAGTTTTAGAAGAAATAACGTCGAGTGTAAAGCCGTCTGGCCCATCGTCAAGCAGCGAGGAACTGACAATGTTATTCGATGAAGATGCTTTGCACATGAATATTGCGATTGATTTGTTGAAAATGATGACCTATCGGTGGAAAATTAATTTATAAACGCGTTGAACGAGATTGATGGTCTTATGGTTTATCCTTGCCATATGTATAACATGATTTGTAAATCGAAAGGCGGTTTGACAAGCACAAAAAATCAAAACATATCGACGATGTTTCTGGCACCTCTGAGGGTTGCTATACAACACCACTCGATAAAAACACAATGAACTCGATCGTTAACACAATAAAGCAAAACATTATAGACGAAGAATTGTATGGAGACGAAATAGAATCCTCTA